TTACTTCTTTAAAGCCACGGCAATGCACAGTACAAATCATGTGGCCATCACAACTGTCAGAAAAACGACTGCCATGTCTGCTACTCCGAACAGTCAGAGCACGGATGGCTGTGAGGTAGTAGGATCAGTTCAACACCGCTGTGTCACAGTGAAGGGCGCAAGCCACGCTCCCTCACCAATTACCACCAAGCTTCAATTACGAAAGGCTCGCACTTCAGAGGAAACATGAGATCTGCACTCCTCTCCGGTCTGCGCAAAGCGCGACAAGGCCAGGCAGGCGTCAAGACGTCAATCCGTCCCCTGCGATCAATAGCAACGAGCCACGAAATCCGTGGGAGTGGCCTGGACTCCGAGTGCATCTTATCACCACCGGTCTACAACCACTCAATTGTAGGTTTCCTGCCCTAAGGCTAGTCAACACCAATAATACCAAATATTCTGTCTCGATCCTGGACCAGTAGCCCTAGAAATGGACGAATCGCTCCCAGTCTGCAAGTGTAGAAAGATGCACGAAAGAATCCGGAGATGATGAGGTCTTCTTGCTGCCGGAGCTCTCAGCTGGAAAGACCTTAGTTGCATTTGGCTCCGACACACGTGTGGAGGCTGAAGTTGAATGCTGAGATAGCCCAGGGGCGTAAGAGTAGGAGCTGGTGGCGCGCAGCACCGGAGCCGGCGCCGTAGGATTAGCGAGCACCGGGGGCGCCTCGCGTGTCTCTCGACTTCATTAACGGCCTAAAGCAACAGCTGGGCCATCAATCGTGTGAATGGGATGTCGGAAACCCTGCCAAGCAAGGGGCTCTGTGCCGGGACATGTGCAAAAACACTTTCCAGGCTCTATGGTTGTTGCTGCGACTGTGGGCAGTGGGCAGTGAGCACATGCACAAAGCACGATATTAAGTCTGACCGAGTTGGGTATGAACCATCTGAAACTGGTGGTCCCGGATTCACATTGTGGGCTGATGATTCGTCGTTCGAGTGCTGGTGCTGGCGGTGGCGATGGTGCTGGTGCTGCTGGTGCTGGTGCCGGTGCCGGAGCTGCAGCTGGTAATTTCGTGTGGCGACCACTCATTTCCAAAAGCAACTCTCCCAGTTGTAAGCCCAGACTGCATGCTGCTTTGGCTGCCACATGTGCAACTGGCAAAAGGTCAAACTTCTTGCCCGCAGAATGGTGGGCAGTTCTTGCATGCGAGATGCTTGTTGACCGAAACAGATTCTCCAAGTTTTGGTTCTCGCAGAATTCTCGGCTGGATTCTCTGCAGTAAGCTGGAGACATGCAACTCTATGAGCCAGCCCATACAGATAACAAGCTGTCACTAAGTCTGCAGCAGTGCAAACATGTACTGCCCAATGTTTTGCAACTAACACATGCTGCATGACTATGTCACGTCAACAGGAAAGGATCCTAACACCCCGAGCCATCGATTCCGCAGGGCCGACCTTGAAGCCCTTCTTGCCGGATTTGCCCTGTTCGGGCTTGCAGGAAGATCAGGCTCTTCACAAGTGTTGAGCACGAATCTGTTGGAAACAGACCACTGACAACGTTCAACACAGAAAGCCTCTGGAAAGAACCACCCTTTGCTTCAGGACTAAATTCGGCCTTGGAGCCCTTTCGGCCGCCCTTCCCCTGCAGGGTGTAGCCGCATCAAAGAACTGGTTTGAGCATGTCACTTGCGAGGGCAATGGGTGAATTGTAGTTGCAGCAGCATGATGCAGCATGCATGTTCCTACAAGAGGCCTTGCCGTACCCGGAGCCATAGGGCTCACCGTGGCTGCGGGAAAACATAAGGGGAGTGAGAGTGGAAACCTTCGAGCAGCTTAAGGTCTGGAGAGTCGGGGTGGAACTCAGGCTGCTGTAGGGGTTCAAGGGACAGGCTCCTTGAGCTCGAATTGCGAACAGCTGCGGCAAGGTCTCATCTGGAGCCTGTGGGGCTCCAAGCCCCGAAGACAAGTGACTTGGACCATGGTCCAAGGTTCGTAAACGTGGCAAACTTCAGTCAGAGCAACTTACCCCAGAGCGCTCGTTTCGAGAGGTTGCCAGGTTGGGACGCACTTCTCATGTGTAGGTGTAGGTCTTTCCGTGTTCTGGATTTGAAGGCTTCATGCCCAAGCGGTGACAAACAGTCCTGCCGAGCATACAGCGCCAGCGAGTTCTTTAGTCCTGCGACAGATGCATCGCATCTTGAGGCTCAGCAAGAACTCCATGGCATGCCCATGCTTCATAATTGATGTGTCTTTCCGTGAAAACCTTGTATCGCCATAGGCATCGGTCTGCAGAAACGGCGAAATAGTGTATGTTACGTAATTACGAAAGAGAGGCGCTTCTTAGATGCCTGGCTTCTCGAGTTTGATGTTCAAGCAAAAAACTGTTGATATGAACATGTAGATGATGTAGATGAAGGTTTGAGACGAATGTTGGTTGCTTTGCACCTCAGCCTCCCCACCTGGCCCAGCAAGCACACTTTTTGCAAAGAAATTATTCATCATCGTCTCACGGTCGCGTCCCAAGCAGTGTGCCGAACTTGCCTGACTCCACGTCGCTTTCGGATCAAAGTTGGCACTCAACAAGGCCACACGCAAAGTGCCACCGCTCCTTTCCCCCAGCTGCATCAAGCGCCGCGCCCGCTGTGCATACATTTGCTCTGTCATATTGCCGCGTCTCACATTGTGTTTCCAGTGTTGCACATGACTGGCCACGCGTAACGACAAGCACGTATCTTGCATGGGCAGTCCGAAAGACGCAGAATCCTGTAAAGCCCAAGTGAATTCGTCATGGTGGAAGTGATACAGAAAGACGGGGAACGAGCTTTGAGGTCCTTCAGATTCCGACAGATAGCCATAGGATCTACCATGAACCAAAGCAGCTTCTTCGACCGCTACACGCCAGGAATAATATGATTCTAGGAAGCTGGATCCTTTAAACGTCGCTTGAACGAACTCACGGAAGTGCTGCAAATGCGCAGGTCGAACCAACTGGGGGAAGGTGTCCATGAACTCGCCCACCCAGTCCAAGCCTAAAGACATCGTCTCCATTGAGTTCACCTGTGTTCGACGTGCAAACATTACAGGTGATCCGTGCGGCATCAGAAGCTCTTCCACTTGCGGCGTGTGGATCACCACGTCCGCATCAAACCAAGCCACCCAGTCGGGTGGGTCGACATGTTCCGCGATGTACAGATCGGAAAGCCAATAGTGGTACTGTAGAAGCTGTGTGCGATATCTTTGGCTCGCAGAGCGTCCACTCCATTCGATGGAGTCGATGGCAGAACCCCGCCGCGGAAGGCTTGGAGTATAAATGCAGATCACTCTGGGCGAAACCTCAGCACACATGTGGCGATCTTCTGTGGTGTCGTCCACGGCCATGAATATCTTGGACTTCCACTTTTGGGGCCAGAAACGCTCCACCGACTCTACAAAAGGGAGAACTGCAAAGCGATCTCCATGGAAGCTTTGCAGAAAGATTTGTACGGAGATATCCTGATCTAAGGCAGCATGCGGCAATGCTGCGCTTACACTACCAGGAGGAGGATGTGCCAGATATCGCCCACAACAGTGTTCAACTATGTCATCTACCACATCCCCGAAACACCATGTGAGGCGCTCTATCGTGATGCGGCGATCACAGCAGATTTGGGGTACGTAGCCGCCACCCCAGCAAGGAGAATGCGCGGGGATAAAAGCGGTGTGATAGAAGTAGCTGCCAAGCGTCCATAGATTTAAGGGCGGACGATCGAAGAAACCCAACTGCATGCTGACATCAGCCATGAAGAAACTGGTCTCCAACGGTCGTGCTTGATACGAGTACAACTGCAACCTGTCTTGAATAGTTGGCGGATCTGCAGCAAACTCGGCCAGAATATCTTCAAACCTTTGGCTTCGGTTGAAAAAGAACTGTTTCCCGGCCAGCAATGGCAGGGTGAAAACCCTTCCGGCACCACCATGCCAAAGGCTTCGTTTCATCTGCAAAGTCTGGTACGTCGCTTCCACGGATCGACGGCAGTTGGCTACAAACCGGCCAATCTTGCTCAACTTGACGGGTTGCTGGCACTTGCACAGGGTCCAACAGCCTTGACCCAAACGCAGGAAGGCCAGCAAGTGTGAGGTGTGGTCGTTCCAGTAGATATGACGACCGTTGAAGCGCCAGGGATGCAAGTTTCGGTATTGACCCAGCGTGATCTGAACATTTGGATGCAATGTCTGGGAAGACCACAGACGGATATCCAAGTTTCCCAGTGCGTTGGCCATCGAGGCATCGGCAGAAATTGAGCTGGTGCTATGACTACGATTCATTCTAACGGCGACTGGGATGCAAGATCACCGAGTCCACTTCCGTCGCATGTGCTGGTGACCGACTGCAACAGAACTTCTCTACATCTTCCCTGGTTTGAGCTACGGTCTGGGAGGTGGTAAACAGTATTCAATGAAAGTAGTGCGCGGGAGTGGAGAGAAGCAATAAGCAGCACAGGGAACCTGAGAAGCTTTGCAAGCGCCGCAACCCTCCAGTACGGTCGAAAGAGTTACCACAAACCCAAATCTTGGTCACCTTGCATGCAAGGCAGAAGCTCCCTTGTGCCTCGAAGGCTTCACGATGACCAGCATGTCGCGCGATGTGGGTTGGGAAACCGCCGAAGCTTTTAAAATTGATGCTAGCTCAGCAGGTCAAGCCGGGGTCAGGGATGGACAAAAACAAATGTGGGGATGGAGATGCAGGTCGAAACTCTATTCTCAACATGCGCCATCTTCAGGGGGTGCTTATGTTAGACTTCGCGCATTATCTGCATCTGCACATCATGGACTAGATTTTGCCTGGCTCTGCAGAGCTTGAGCTCTGCCCCTGGGGCAGGTGGCGACGTGTCATTCTCTTGCCGATCGTACACTGTAGAGTTTGTCATCATCCACCGAGTCCGCCCAGGTACCCAACACTCAGCCCATCCTCATGACCGACTACTCGGATATCCAGAACACGTCTCCGCACTTCCAGAATGCCATCGGAGAACATGCGCCTGCCACAGTGGTAGTGGATGTATTGACACCACTAGCCTCGGAAATGCGGATGTCGGAACTGGTGGCTACACACTAGACGATCCAGAAGGCCTGCGCTTTACGTCAACGGCGAGAAAATCTAGTCTATAGATAAGAACATCTGACAATATCTGACAGCAGACTTGCATGATTCTGTCGCTCTGACATTCATTGCAAGTTGCTTTTGCCAGTTCTGTCTACTGGACCTGAGAGCGTGTGTCCCAACAGCAGAAACCGTAGTTTTCGGCTTTGGCCATCCTGAGGGTCCCGGCAGAACGCCACATGGAGCGAGGGCCGCGCGGACGTTTCGCAGTGCGCTGAGCACCAGCGCCACCCTCAGCAAAAGACCATCAGCGGCTGCAGAGGCCCCGTACACGGAAGGTCAGTGGCCGGTGCAGCGTCGTCATTTGCGCGGCAACATGACAAAGCATGCCAGAAGCTCAGGCACAGGCTCCCCGCAAAGAAGATAGTCCAAGGTTCCTTTGTCCACGGCCTTGCTCAAGCCATGGGTCAGGGTGCGGCATAGTGAAACCCCAAGATCTCCCTTTGCCATGTCTCCAGTGGAACCACCCTGAGTGTTGTGCGGTGGTTGCGATCTAGGCATGTCAAATCATGTCAACCTCTCGACCCGTAGAACCGAAAACCCTGAACTGCTTTCAAGCTCCCAGCCGTGAGCACCAGAGGTCCCGGTCACATCGAGAAGCCAGGGCCGCAGCCAAGTGGAATGCATGTTCGTCCAGGTCCGTCCTCTTGTTCGCGGCTTTGGGCTTCGAGACTTACATGCCATACAGGATGGAAGAAGCCTCAATGCCTTACAGGCGCATTTACCTTTACTGATGCTATGCTTCATGAATTTTGCTGACATAGTCCGCGCACCCCAATGCCTGAATGATTCTGCATGCCTACAATCACAAAGACCTGCAAACTACGAAGCTGTGCGAAATTCAAGCTGCACCTGACATGCGCAAAAGAACACAGGAAACCCTGGGATTGCACACCTCCACATCTCTCCATACAGCTTTCCTCACCTCTCCGCAGTGATGTTCACCACGCCCCAAGACAGGCCTCCGTAACTTTAGGCTCATGCTTGACACGAGGTTTGCCGGAGGCTGTCAGTCCGAATAGCAGGGCAAAAACAGGCTGCGAAATCTCTTTCCGGTTCATCCTGGCTTGTTGGAGGCCGATTCTGGGTGCCTCAGCTCCTTACCTATGCAGGCAGCGTGCTCTGCCTCCATCGCTTGGATGACATCCTGTAGAGATGCTTTTTCGTGACACGGACCGATTGCAGCGAGGAGAACGTTATACACCTGCTCAGTCTTCCCGAAAGACCTTTGCCCGTGAACAGAAAGCATCTACGAACTAGGCAGCTGAAAACCGGAAGTTGGCTGGTAGAGAAGGATCAAGAGCAGTGAGTGAGAACGGAAATGACGGTGAGGCTTGGGGGAGTGACTTTGGGCCCTCCCTACTCCAGTTGCTCCTGGTCGATGTCCACCGCGTGCACCCTGTCCGCAATCGACGTGAAGCAACGTGCGTGCGATCCGAAAGCAGTATCGCGAACGTTGTGGTTCAGCAACGTTTCCACCCGTTTTCCGAGCTCAAACACAAAGGGGCCGAAACAACTCTTCTCAATTGCAGACCAGCCCCTGCAAAGTCCCTGCAAGCCAAATCCCTCACACACGAGTGCGATGTCAAGCCAGACCTTCGTCCCGTGCCTACATGTGATTAGATTCTGCACACTTCAGTCGCGGCAAGCATACGCGAAGCTCCAATGCGCTCTCTATGCTGTGCGGTGTTGTGCGCCTGCAGCCCTTGGACCAGATATCCTTGGCCAAGCTGGACGTCCCGCAGCCCACGTCCAACCTGAGCTTGGGCTCTGGAGCTTCCCAACAGCGGCTGGGCCAAGGACCTCAAGCAAAAAATCTTGCTTTCTGAACCAGCCAGTGCCTGCAAGCCTCGAAGTATCTCGACTGGGACCAGCGGGCTTGGAGTCACAATTATAGTATGTCCTGAAAGTACCGAGACAAAACACGAATCTCCATGCCAAGTGACACACGGAGGCTGGCATCCTGCATCAGGATGCTCGAGCCGACTATGGAGCAAAGGGAGTGCAGGTGCTTGTTGCCGTCCCACGTCAATGATAGTATATAGTAAAGGTATGTAAAATTAGTAACGCCGACAAGGCTACTATGTGGAAGCTCTTTCGAAGGAGTCCTGCACCACACCATGTTGCCGCGCAAGCTCTGCCGCCTGCCACAGTGTTCGTCGCGCTTCGGAGCAGCAGTCTCAAAACATCCACACGTGCACTGCGTACGTGGAGCTTGCGCTTCTTCGAAGCATACTGGCATCCAGAAGCCATGCAGGCAGACAATCGGCTCATGGGACCTGGGGAACTCGCTGGGATCGACTGTTGGTAACACACTGCTGCTGCTTTTGTACGGGCAAACTTGCTGCTCGAAAGCGTCCCAACAGTGACTCTAGCTGCCACAACTCCTTGACAGTGCTAGTGCCGGTGCCGCAACCAAACACGAAGCAAACAGCGGCTGAAGCTGCGTTGCTTGCCACAGCTTACCCTCAACACTGGCTGCCTTCTGCTCTACACAAGTGCGAAGCCCTCTAAACAGCTTGACGGGATAGCCTCTTCCGCAGGCCGCGCCTCTTCCAGAATCGGGTGCAGCTTGTCATAGCCTTCACACCAGTCCTCAACAGTCTGGTTCGCTTAAAGCATGATGGGCTTGGTGAGTGTAGGGACTTGGTGCAGATGCTCTTACAGTAGTCTTTAAATCTTGTGGTATTCGTCGTCTAAACTGAGATAGGATCCACTGGTAGACAGCTGTCCAGCACCAAGGTGCTACGTGGGTACAGAGCTCAAGCCGTGTATGTTCTCCGAGAGACCCTATCTAAAATGCATATCTTAGCAGTGCAGCCACACTGGTATTGCACGATGGTGTGATAAAATTGCAAGGACATGCCATACCGCCTTTGTCGAAAGCAGAGAAACCACAAGTGCTGGAAAGCATTGGGCTCGGGATTTCGAGGCACGGGCTAGGGGTGCAGACGAGCTGCGAACATCTGGCGAACGACAAAGAACGCGAACGGCACATGCTTTCCCTGGTACTCGGTGCAGAAGGTCAGGGTACTGAATCCCAATTGCTGCTGTGCCCATGCAAGTAGATCAATTCCGACCAAAGGGCTTTCGACCTTGGCAAGCCTATGCAACTCAGGCTAAGAGGACTTGACCTACAATCAACGTGGTCGCCGATCTGCACTGATGATCTGGCGATGCACGATCAAGCTTTGGAGCCATGTGCCGGGCCAGCGATGCATGCCCGGTCTTGGCCCCAGGAAATCACGGCAAAGGCTGCTCTCCCAATCTGAACCTTCCACTGCTGCAATTCCCTTCAACCCAAAGCGGCGACACAGCAGCTCAGTTCCAGTTCAAGACAAAGGTGACGGCTAGTCTCAACTCCATGTTTGAACACTGCCCACGACATTAGCGGCCTTGTATTAAGCGCCAAGAGCCGTGTCCGTGCAGGTTTCTACGATGGTGTGGTAGATCTTGCAACATGCCAACAGACGGCGTACACCAGATCATCACCGTGACAGTTCGTGTTCGCCACCAGCATCGAAACTCCTGCTAATACGTCAAAAGTGCACACTCCAGCTCCGGAACATGCCTGCCGTCGGTCACACTTTGCTCTCCGCCAGGAAAATACGAGACATGCCACTGTGTCATCCCTCTGCCGCAGGTGGTTTTGCAAGGCCGCTTTCTTCTTTCGATCTTTGTTGATGTTGTGGTTCGGAGTTCAGAGCTTTCGCAGCCTTTCGAACCGCCGGCGCTGTGCATGCGTATGCGGGCGAGCGTTTCTAGTGACTAGCAGGACCTTGCAAAAGCCATAAGCTCATGTCCTCTCCTGGCAAATCGCCTCTGCCGTTGCACTGGGCGCCCAAAGCTAAGGCTCGTATATGTTTGAATCATTGAGTACGACACGGTGGAAACCAGGACAGCAATTCCCATCGAAAGCAGATGTTCTAGAGGATTCCTAGGAAATCGGCAACTCCGAGAAATTGCCCGAGGCTGAACAGCCCACTGCACTCCACAACAGCATTTGCAGAAGTGGTTCAGAGGAACGGATGCGTGTAATTCTGACAGTACTTCGCCCAAACGCTCACCTGCACTGAGATACTGGTATTAGTTTTCCGGACTGCGGTCATTCACTGGCCAGTGGGCTCACAGGCAGGAGATAACTCCAACGACCTCGGTGCGAAAGAGTATGCACTGATGCAGACAGCAAGACTGCATGACAGCGTCACGGCCAGAGGCCAGCCGCAGTTTTCAGACTACCGAGCAGCACAGGTGCAGCTCTGCTCAGAGGCCTAGAAAATGAGGAGACACTACACAACTCCGGATCCGGGATCATCACTTTCCTCAAGGCTCTGAGGGCAGCGGCCGCTCCACCCAGGCCCATGGCGATGAGCAACCCGAAGAGGAACTGCCTGGCAGGGGCAGGCCCTGGGCTGCTGCAGGCTGCTCATGTTGAGTGCTTGCTGTCGGGTTAGCTCCAGGACAAAGGCCAAGGCCATCGCTGCCGGCCTTCCCGAGCTCAGGGAATCCGAAGTCAGCCGCCAGTAGCACACCCTGAGTGCTGTCTGGCAAGGCTGCGGAACCACGCAGGCTTGCGATGCATTAGTCTCTGTATGACACTGCAAAATGTCTTCGTCTCAGGACTCTGAGCAGTGCGCAACACACGAGTCCTGACGCCCTTTCTACGGGAATCCAACAACGGACTTCCTCTTGACTAGAAGTCCCTCAGCACTGCAGACTTAGGCGTGGCAGACTGAATTACATCCTGAACAAAGTAGATTCGGTAAGTACGAACTGAGGGCCCGTCACCGGCAACACAAAGGCAATGTTCATGCAAAAGAAAGACCTCGAGCAAGGGCTTGCGGTGTCTGCCACGCAGGAACCACGCAGCAGGTCTCGAAACCGAGCACTGTCGCAAGTGAACAGGACAGAGAGAGAGAGAGAGAGAGAGCCAGGGAGAGCCAGCTGCGGAGAAACGACATAACGCCTAGTTGGCAACTATCTGAACTGAGTCTTCATCTCCATGTGTCTGGGAGGCTCGGACATGTCTGTTCCAAGCTTCATGCTGCTTGGCATTCCGTGGAGATGAGCATTGATCCGAATCCGAGTTCGCTGCCCGAGGAGGTTCAACAGGAATGCCTGACAGGCTGTGGAAGCCGTCGCTAATGACGTGATCGCGGAGAGCCGCTCCGCACCAGCCGTGTAACATCATGGTGCATGTGGCCAAGACATCAGGCTGCAAGACGGGCAACACTGGAAGTTAAGCCATAGCAGTTGCAGGATAACAACAGCGAAAGGACTCCAGCTATGTCTTTGAACTCGGAAGTTGGACTTCACAGACATGGAACAAGACGTTGCATCAACTTTTTCCTCAATCGCTGTCGAAATTAAATTACGGCAGAGTCGTACATCCAAGTCTCCCTTCTCGGCAATGCCAGCACCAAGTGACCGAGTCAACGAGTCATTCGGGATTTCGCGAGGCGCGCCGTGCCACACGGGTATCCATTCGGACACGTCTCGACTTTGTACGACCAAGCTACGTACGAGTATGCACGATGTGACCTAGCCATGGACCCCGAAGACTCCTTGGACTTCCCTTGACTTGGGAAGCGGCCATTTCGTTGGCAAAGTGAACCGCCACTAATGCAGACACCTTAGTTGTGATCCACATGCAATGTCTGCACGGTCGAACTGAAAGTGTTTGTTGCCCGACCCAGACTTTGGCCTGAGACATCCTGAGACCCGAGTTGATATGCGCACTCGCTGATGTGCCGGGTAAACTCTCTGAAGCTCACGACTATTTCTTCGCAAAGCCTCCGTGATCGCTGGTTTCGGTTCAGAACGGTGTCTGGCTTCCGGCTTCCAGAGACATTTGACTCGCTTGGATCCAAGCTGTCCTCTAGCGTCTTCTTCAATTTGGGACC